TCACCGACATGCCCATCACTTATCTTGCCTTTAACGGAAATAGTATTTGTTAACTCCATTTTTCAAAATCTCCCCAATTTATTATAATGATATCCCACTGATGTTCATACATCGCGATTCACAGGTATAGGTCTACCCTCATTTTAGCAGTAACAGACGATGGAGTTGTTGTGAAAATTCGATCAAATTTTTACGATAATTGGCGTATGAAATAACCATTATGTGTGGGTTCTTGTCACGCCAACTTCTATTTTCTTTTCTTTTTTTGTAAATTTTGTTTCATTTCATCTATTAGGTCCATACAAAAAGTATGAAACTTTTTGCAGACTACTTTTACTCGATATGCAACATCCTCAGAGCCTTCAAAGCCTTTTAGCAGATTTCTCAACAAAAAAAAACTTTTTTCAAAAGCGTAGGGGAACATCTGAAGATAGATAGTCCAATGTCACCGTATAAGTGTCCAAAATGAAATTTTGTTTCACGTCCTGATATGATGGCTCATCAGTTTCTCTTTCTCAGATAGCAACACGTGGAAGATTTTACCAGGATTCTTGGTAACTGTAAATTCTTTTGAATGTAGCATGATGCTTCGTTAACATAACTTTACTTTTGGGCCATTCAGACTTGAACGTCTTTTTTTCATGGAGGCGTTAAACATTGCTGAATTACTTAATGAATCAACCGTAGCGTAGATCTACTGCTGTAATGTAAGTGCTTATCCATAACAACCGACTTTTTGCCGTTTGTATCGCTATGCATAATATGTGGATCACACTTAATGTGCATTCTATGTATACTTCATTCGTCCGCTACGAACACTCACTTCCGGCGCGGACTTCTCTTGCATAGCGATGGTCTTCGGACGGGCTTATCTCCTGCATTGACGATTCATTTAGTAACAAGATTAGAGGAAGTTGAAAACTAGCAGGACGAGAGGTGGCGTTCAATGGTCTGATGGCCTTGAAACCATTCTAGGACCAATTGAAGACCACCTAAAAAACTGTACGGCAAAGAAGTACAGAACAGTTTTACACAAGTTCAAAGAAAACGGAGCATGGAAGTGCAACCTTTGCTTTTAAAGCTCACGTTTCAGTCTAAACCCG